GATCGCAATATTGATTATTTTCTGGCAATAAGCGAGTGACTTGTATAATCATGATAGCAATAATGATGTTTGTGAATTCATAATTCAATATTATTTCTTCCCAGATTTCTAAGTTTTCCTGTTACAAACAGAAAGAGAGAGAAAGAGAATGCTAACTATATTTAAATATAGTGTAAACATGCATTTAGATTCGACGTGACAATTAATCAAACAACCGGTTAGTCTTTTTATCATTTTCTTTATTTATCAAGTTTTTTTCCAAATTTTAAAAAAATTCAGGGAAAAATGAAAATTTAATATAAACTTGATAAACAGAAATTCTTTTTTATCTGGTCCAAAAAAAATTAATGAGATTCATAATATTATATTAATTATCTTTGTGTTCCCGTTTCTGAATAAAACTACACAAAATTTCTCAAGTGCACATATGAAAAATATAATTTTATTTTATAAAAGTAAATTTCGTCTAACTTTTGAAAAATTGTGTTGTGATTAAGTCAGTATATCGTAATGAGAATTAGTCTCGCAATTATGTTAAAAATTCATAATTCATAATTTTGTGATAATTAATAATTTATAATACACAATTTCGCATAAATAATCGGGTTAAAACTAAATAATTAATCCAATACAATCATGGTTTAATTATTTATAAGAAAAGATAAGCTTTTAATACTTATCTAACGTTATAAATCTAAATCAAAAGATGCGCTTAAATCAACCAGTACTATGATCCTGCAGAGAATTAAATAAGTAATCTAACAATCATGCATGTAGCTAGTATCGTGGCAATCGTAAGGATAATAATTTGTATGTAAATCGATTGCTATCAATTAATGATCGAAATTTGTGAAGAGCAAGGACAAGGTCGGTCTTGAAACAGGAGGGTAAGCAAAATTTGATGAGAGGGTTCTTATATCGTGCTTCGATATTATGTCGGCTTTATCTTCATTCGCACGCGCGGTGCAGAGTCCTTGTCGCGTTTACGCGGCACGTGGCGTGGCATCGATGACTTATATATATATGATGCTTTTCAATGTGCTTCCCGAGCGAAACGGGATGTCATCGAGAATCTCGCAGCGGGGTTGTCTATTTATTGTGTGGCGAGTTGACCTGAATGAAAGTGAATAGAGGGCAACAAAGACATACTCGAGAGATAATTGCGCGTGTCGATAAGAAAATGTCTATCGATCAGAGATTTGATTGAGTAAGAATCGTTCACAGAGATGCCGCATGATGTCAAAAAGCTCCCGCAAAAAATTAAAAAATGAGATTAAAAAAGACGCAAGTATAAGCGGAGAGTACATGTGGAAAGATAACAACCTCTATATATATGCATGCGAAAGGCGAAATGCAAACTTAGAACTAAATAAAAGACGGCCGCATTTAGCGATAAATTCAGTTGTAATACACATACTTCATCATTATACGCGCTCCAATGTGAATTTAAAAATCGTTGTAAAAACAATGATACGCTCTTGTATTTCAATCAAAATCGAACAGACAAATGAGAAGACATCGAGATCGTTAGGTTGAAGTTACGCAGAAGAATCAGTGTTAAATGACGTTATTAGTAAATATTTATATAACTACACGAAGATACTTATTTTTGCACCAAGATAATTGAACAACGATCGATTGCGTGAGTATAATAAGAGAGAGAGATTATCGTTGTTCGAGTAAAAAATGCACCAAAAAAGATAAGAAGTAATTTCAGGATACAAATCATCTCATTTAGTTTCTTCATTAACATTTCTAGGAACAATACTTATTTTGAAAAGTTTTATTATAAATTCAAAATTAATATTAATTAGATTTTTAGTATCCTTATTTACTTCACACATTGATATTTTATCGCATATTTAATAAACTGATAACATTTTTGGATCATATTATTCATCCACGACAGCGCAAAACGTAATTTTCAGCAATGATAATTTGAATTGACGCGTCACTTTAAATTTTCTGACTAGATTTTGAAAATTCCAAATGATGAAGCGATGACATAAGAATATAAAATCAGTAATGTTAGATAACATTGACATAAACAGATAACTTCACCTTGTACCTTATTGTAATACATATTTTTTTCAAGTATGATAATCGTGATGATTTCGCCAATGAAAATAAATGGTAGAATTATTTGGCTATATTTATCACACGTAGCATGTAACGGGGTTGATAAAAAATGTATCAAAATGTATTTACACTTTAAGACTCTAAGCTATGGAACGCGAGATATGCCGTCTCTATTTTGTGAATTGATAACGGATGCGATAAATGTCACGGAAAAGCAGAAAAAAACATATTATATATGCACGGGTGTCATGTATTATTAATTACCGTATATTATATCCGCGTTTTTCTGGCAACAACATAAAAAAAGAAAAAGACACGCGACAGGCAAAGTACAAAATACAACTTTCATTGACATAACAAAATTTGTGAATTCTGTAGAAAAATTTTGCCATTAAATCGCGATTAATAAAATTCTATTATTTGATTAATAAAATAATTTTTTTAATGTACTAACAATATTAACAACAAAATATTAATAAAATAACTTACTTAATTGATATAACGGAAAATATGCATGGTTCTCTTACGTATAACTTATATTGCGATGAACGTGCGTTTCTGCGAAAACATTCGTGATTTCACAGAATCAATAAAATAATCGAGTCAAAAGAAATATCTCCCTATTTTTTTTTTCTCTTTATCGACGTTTCAATAAAATATCGTTTTCAAACAATTCTGTCGAATTCTGTCATGAAAAATGTCTCTCTTCGGTAGATAAAACCAGTTTCTCAAAACTAATTGAATTTTTCTTCTGATGAAAATATGCCTGATCGTCTACAAGTTTCAAATTTAAATTTATGAAATCATCTATCAAATGCTCAATTGCTGAGCAATCATAATGAATCAGAAAGAAATTAACGAAATAATAATCCACGCGCGAGAATCCTAATATTTACGTGATCTACTAAACAAACACGCATATGTTTGTATCGTTAAACAATAATTTACTGGTTTATCGCAGTGATAAAGCCATTAATATAAATTTACAATAAGCACACAGTTTCACGGTCTATTCATTCTCCGATGTCATAATGATATCACGCGATTATCTTGATATTCGAGGCACGATGATGTAATAGCATCGCACGTGGAGAACGGTTCCCGCCTCGGGTTGTAATAGCAACTGTTATTTTATTTTTGATTATCTCGTCATAAATACAAAAGCTAATTAGATATGATACGACACAAACACGAATACATATCTTATTTTTCTCTTTCTAGTAAAATTATAACGCATATAAAAATCTTTTTTTTCTATATAAAGTAAAAAAATTATATTGACCTAAATTTTAAATTTAAGATAAATACCATACACACGACACAAGTATGCAGATGTAACTGTGACATGGAAATCGCATTCACTTTCGAGTTTCGCAATCGTTACATGTCTTCGTAACTCGATGAACGTGCATGTGCGCTAAATATACCAAACGATTTTGGTCTCATTGATAACCTTTTTATTCTCATAAGAGAGATCTTTGGAAAAAGCCAAGTGCTATTTTCAAATATTATATAAGAGATATAAAGAGATGTATAGTGCGTGACAAATATCAAATCTAACAAAAGCCTTATAATTTTATCAATATCAATTTTCTAATCTATATTTTTTTGCATAAAAATGCAGTCATCGTTTTATTGGTGCCATTGGAAAATCCCATATATGTACATCTGCGTGTGTCTCGCGAAACAGATGTCTATATGATTACGTTTACACGTGTCACCCTTAATCAGGTTTAATAACATCCGTAGTTTTAAAACTGGCCGATCACACTCACTCTATTCTTTAGAGGAATAGTTGTAATTGATCAGTTGTAAAACTACGGATGTTATTAAACCCAATTAAGGGTGACATGTAAACGTAGATTATGATAGAAAAAGAAGATGACATTTGCGAATAACGTGTACAAACCTTATACATATACATGTTATACATGTTACCGTTACGTCAAAAAATTTCATTTCACTAAACATCACACACACGAATCTGATATAAATTCATCTTTTTCAAAATAGAGCAAAAAGAAGAATCCCTTAATTCTTCCCGTCACGTGGCTCATCATCTCCGATGTTTACTACATCGGCACGGAAGGCGGAACGTTCTCTCCACGAAATCCGTGACAGCGAGTTCGCGTGATGCAAATTATTACGTCGCCGTCGGCGGTGATGTTGGCGGGGGTCGCTTCTCTTCTCCTCTTTCCACCACGTGGAAATTCTCGTCTTGAGGTGAACCTGACTGAGGCTGCGGGCCGTGTAGCGATAGAGAGAATGAGCGGCGCCGAGAGACGATCTCGGAGGGGTATTCGCTTCACTGTATTTCTGCGAGTCTGCTTACACACTCGCGCACACATATATAAACGCATACTGTCGGAGAGACACATGCGTGAATATATGTCTCCCAACATACGTACACAAACAGACACACATCCCACGTGTTCGCCATTCTATTGGTGAAGAAGCTAACCACTGACCGTCTGGTGTAGTACACGGGGCATTCCAGTAGTGTATATAAGGGCAAGTCTTTCGTACGGTCATGCATTATAACCGGAGGGAGTAGCCACCGTGTGACACGACATTGCAACGTGTGGTGATATTAATCTTGGTGCATCCATTCGATTTGTTTGTGACTGAACAAACGTCGTTTTTTTTTCTTAAGTTCTTGTGACGCTTCTCTCTCTCTTTCTTTCTCTCTCTCTTTCTTTAATGGACTTTGAGATCATGTTACCTTTTGCTTCGGCGTGTTGACACCTATTTCGCGCAGAATACTAGTGACCGTGGTCGCACTAGGATCGGGTCTCTCGACTTGATCTCAACAATCGCTTGCGGCAAGAAGGACCTTGAATCTTACTGCAAAAATTAAGAGTCCGGATTAATCTCCTCGACATAATCCTGATTTTTTCTAAAGAGATCTCGGGAAGAAAGAGTAAAAAATTTTGCTTCACCGTCCTCTTATGGTAAACAATAGAAGCCAAAATATCATATCAAGGAAGCGTCGTTAGAAGACAATCGAGAGTACTCACAGCACGCAACATGACTGCTGCGTCAATCCTTTTGGAAGGAGGATCTTGGATGACCATCTTTCTTTCCTTCTGCCTCCTGTTGCTCCTGTTGAATCTACTGGTAGAGCGAGGAAAATTTCTGTACGCCTTGAGGAAGGTGTCCTATCCCACAGCGCTGCCTATCATCGGTAACGCTTATCAGCTCTTCTGCTCGCAAGAAGGTAAGTCTTTGCGATTTTGGCATATTAAAAAATACAGGAATATCGCGGTGATGACCACGTGCGTATATTTTGTGTATGCATGATAACATAACATCATAATTTTCGCTAATGCATGACTATCATCACCGATGAGTTGAACGGATCACATTAACAACTTTGCTAAAAATAAAAATAGATGCAATATTCATTAATACCGCTTTTTCTCTGGTCGCATATACATATATATGTGTCGGATAAAAAAAGATATTATTACGAGGGAGCTGTATAAAGGAAATAATATTAGAGTACATTGCTTAAATTGTCCAAATAACACAACTTTCATATATAAAATATTTTAGTGTGTAAATGTTTACATTAATTTACGTAGCACGGATCATTGCCCTTTTGACATTTATTGCAGATGATACATTCGTAAGTGACGCTTTGAATCTTGTGGCTCTCTCTCTTTTGGTTTCTGAAACATACGATTTTGAAATATTAAAAAAATAACATTTTTAGAAAAGAGGATTTAGTCCCAACGACATTAACCTTGACATATGTTTTCAAGATTATGATCCACAATAACTTTCAAAAAGTTTAGGAATGTGTACTCGATCTCTACAATATAGAAGACGGAAAGAACGGCACGAACTTTCCGTTCAACCCAATATATATATCAACAAGAAAATGGTCCGTGCTATTTAATGTAAATATTTACCAATACCTTTTTCGATATGATTATGTAAAATAATTGGCAAAATCTGTTTTACAATAAACTAAACTCGTATTCTTTTCATCATTTTGATTAAAATCTCACTGGCACACATAGCATTATAATAAATCTTTGTGTCGAAAGATATAAGATTAAACTAAAATAAAATGTTCTGCGTTGCTGAATCATTTGATCTTTGATCATTTACGGAAATATCCAGAATATCTAAATATTTCAACATCTATAGATTAGATTCTTTCTGTATGTTGAATAGGACAAGCGTCACTTTTTTGAAAAGCAATGAATCTCTATTGAATAGTTATGCATATTAGAGGCGACCTCATAGATTTCAATGGCCTTGATATATATTATTATTAAGGACACGGACCCTGAGTAACTTTCAAAAGATTTTAACCGTCATTGTTTTATAAAAATTTATTAACAAAATAAATTTAATGAATAAATCGTAATTTTCTGACACCATATACATTTAAGAAGGTAATATATATCATTTTTTTTTTTATTAAGAAGATAATATATTAAGAATTTAATATATTATCTTCTTGATTAATATAAGATAATATATTAATATTTTATATAATTTTTATTATTTTATTTTATATGATTAATATAAGATAATAATATATTAAGAAGATAATATATCATGGCCATTGAAATCTGTGAGGTCGCCCCTAATATGCATTATTATTCTCTATTGAAAAATAACTTGGCACAATGCACGTTTGCTCTTTTTTCATGTAAAGAATTCTTTTATTATAAATATGATCGCGACATATTTTCAAAATATTTAAGTCAGGAGAAACCTAGGTAAATGAAAATATTATTTTATTGATCTAATTTCAATAAGTGATGTCAACACATTCTATTTTTGGAATGAAATATTTATAAAGAGATATGGAAGAGAGATATGGGAATGTAATATTCTATCTATTTTATACTTTTATCAATTATACTTTTGAAAGTTTACTTCTCTGTTTCTTTCTTTCTCTCTTTCGTGCATGCAGTAGAAATTTCTAGTTCAAATTAATCAAATAAACAAATATTGTGCAGAAAAGTATTTGTTTTTGCATTTGAAATAAAAAATGCCAAGAACACACCTGGTATATGTACATATTCCACATACAAGACGAGGCACCTAATTTACTTTATTAACTTGCAAAACACCTCCGATTATAAAAAAATAGATTATTCTAAAAATAGACGTACGTAATGATATCCTTGAAATTATCATTGACAACATTTTATTCGTATAACAATTTTTTATAAAACGTAATTACAAGTCAAATAAGTATGCAAGTTAGGTGGCTCACTTTATATGTACTAATGCATGTGACATATACAGGATGTCTAATAATAACCGTATCACCTCTCGTGTGCAGGTAGACCAGATAAAACCGAGGAGAAAAATTCATACATTATGACATAACGCATTCAATAAGCGCGCGTTAATTTGATTAAATGCAAATAATCATATCTGTCTTGTCATTGCGACAAAATACGTTACATCATTTTAATCACACTTTAAGCTTTTAGCTTTGTTGTTTAACGTGCTTATTAAAACGCTGACTAATTGATTGCGATAGCAGTCAAAGGTAACTTGATTAAACACGAAACGTCATCGTGTATAACAGCACATACTGATTTTAACACGAAAATTCAGAATTCTAAAAGTCATTTCTGATCATTGCTCTCTTTCTTCCTCTTTCTCTTTAACTAAATAAATTCTCGAATTGAGTAGATGACATGGGTTTTCAGAAATCCATGGCGAGCATCTATATGGCCGTTCAAGATATACTCATAACATGATGATTTTGATGTTGAAAAAATTCACGCGGATAATTCTGCAATATAATACACGACATTGAGAACAAATACGTGCCGATTGTTTGGGCTTTATGCGATTGGCGTCATGATAGAACGCCTATACGGTTCCTTCTGAATAATTGATGATCACTTTTATTCATTCGCGCGTAAGAGAAATTTTACAAGAAAATTAGAAAGGCAAGATGCGAGATGCGATTTCGATTATATCAAAGTCAAATGGTATTTGATTAGAATACGGTGAGAATAAATCAAAACTTTTTACAGTGCGAGATTATTTGGCAGAAAGAGATTTTCATATCATTCACATAAAATTATAAAATAACTAAAATTATTAAATCACTTTTCGATCCAGCGTCAAAAACACTTGGTTTTCTCAATTCGCATTTCTCAGATATATATGCATTCTTGACAATGAAGCACCAGTGAACCTCTGACAGTCTACACGGAATTTTCGTTAAAAAAAATGCAACATAGTTAAGAAATCTTGTATACAGAGAATGATACCTCCATTTAGTTCTAAGATAAGTAAAAAAAAAATTTGTTGGGAATAAAAAGTTCGCGTTTAATAATTATTTTAATAAGCACACACTTATATTATTTATGACACCCGTCATTCACAGAATGATATGTACAAGATGTAATAGTTTTTGCTTGCAATAAATATTATAGAGATTTCTTACATTTCGTAATAAAAGTTAGACAAGATTCATCCTCATACGCGTACATTTTGATTTTATTTCAATTTAGAATTGCTCATGCAAAATGAAATAATTTTCTTTTATAATAAATGAGAAAGACAACCGAGTATAAAAATAATATAATTGTGATATATATTATATTTCACATAAGTTTTGTTTTATTCGAACCATTATATAACAGTTTGATTCATCGTAAAACGGCATTCGTCTTTCATAATAGTATCTGTTCTCTGAACATTCAATCCTTAAAACTCAAGATTTTATAATATATATTTATTCTGTTAAGATAATCAAATTAATGATCATAATTAAAGATAATAATTTCGTACGACTTTCGAGAAAATGATAAAAAAAAGAGATCCATCTCGATTCACCAATAATAATCATCGGCCACCCCGCACGCGTAAAAAAACGAAGTCATGAAGAAGAGGAACAATAAGAAGAATCGGGTCAAGGTTGTTCGGGCGGTCTGAGTAACAGCACGCGATTTTATACGGGGCAACGGTGTTATGTACTCTCCTCTCGCGTTTTGGGGAGAGAATGAAAAGAGAAAGCATACAAGTAGGCAGAACAAGACATTACATAAAAAAAAAACCCCGCATCTGAAATTTTTTGCTGGCGGAGAACGATTCCAGATCAGACTTCAGCCAGACGTCGTCGTTCGCGAAGAGAGAATAGAATCTGAATTTGCTTTGATGCTTCACGTGCACTATGGTACATATGACAATTAATTGAACCGTCCGGCACAAAAGGCGAGGCGTGCAATTAACGTGCTGTGGTAACACTTTGTACGAATATATACTGCTAAAAGACCGTCATTGATCTTTATTGTTTTGCAAGACGAGAATAGGATATCTGGGAAAATTAACAGGACAGTTTATATAAGACTAATTAAAACATTATTATTGAGAGTTGATCTTGTTGGCCTTTAATCTCTATATATACTAATGTATAATATAATTTTATATATATAGGCAAAATAAAATATATAGTGATGAGAGAGAGAGAGAGAGAGAGAGAGAGACTAGAATAAAAAATCCTCCAATAAAATAAAATAAATAAAGAATAAAAGCGCAAAAAAATGAAAAGATTAAAAAATATTCTGCAATTTGTTTTTAAAACCTTACATATAAATTCAATTCTTCATCTACGCGCAAAAAGTTATTTTTTTAAACAAATCTCAGTTCGCGATATATTTGATTTATTAAAGTAAATAATGATAATAAACAAAGTATAAATACAATTTTATATTCTTTCGTATTCTTACGTAAAAAGAAATACTGTTTCGAAATGTCGCACAAAACCGGTCTGTCATCTTTATTTTACGCATAATACATTTTGCGCGTTATGTCATATTGTTAGAGAATAGAATGTATTTTTAGTTTCTTTTGAATCGGGAGGATCATTTAATTATTCGGGTGTTATACTTATGTAGACGGAAAGCACGAATAAAATGCTCTCTTTTGTTCTCGGCAATTAGACAGTGCACATGTGTCTTTCTCCTCTTCGCAACATATTACTCAGATATCTCGAATATTACGACACATATTTATTCTTTGTTTAAATACGCGACATATTCTTTATAGGAAAGCGGGGAAGCAGCTGGCATATCCAGCGCTAAAATAGTCGAAGGCCTACTACTGTCCGAAGGACGCCTAGCGTCTCGTTGCACGTCTGTCAAGGTCTCCGACAGCGCCTTTCGTTCTTTCCTGAGTGATGTCTCTCTCTCATTCTTTCTCTCTTGCTCTCTACATTTGTTCATCATCCATGTGCGGTGCAAATATATATACTGTTTATGTCGACCGGTCAATGTCCGGTCAGTCTCTCGGCCGTCAACTCACTGCACGTGCAGTGCGATTTCTCTCTTTCTCCGCTGCACCATTCTTGATACTCTTTCTTAATTCCCTCTATTTCTCTTTCTCTCTCTATCTCTCTTTCTTTTTTCCTGTTCGTTTCTACATCGACCTTTTTCTTTCAACGTGACATTCAAAATATATAAATAATCTCATCTTATATTTCTTTATCTCGTTGAAACAAATTATATCTGCCATACAAATTATCATTTCAATTAAAAAAAAATTTTGTATATTATAATGTTTAAATATAAAGAGAGAGAGAGATAAGTTCTTAAAAAAAGTTTTTATAATTATATATATAAAAAACATGTATGTAGCGATTATAATACAATGCATTATGGGACTTAATTATTTTCTTTTTTAAACTTTCTAGCTTATCTTAAATTATTGTTGTTTTTCAAAGCAATATTTATTTTTCTTTCTTTCTTTTTAGTTTAGAAATAGTTTAAATCCGCTTCAGATAGTAAAATTATATCAGCCCTATATTATCATCGCATCATATCTCTATACTCATGTTTTGTAAATATACCATATTTTGTAATTTAACTTCCGTTTTTAAAAAAATATATTTGATAAAATTAAATTATATATAATTTTTGCTATTCCTCCACATCGTTCATATTACGTTGCATCCACGTTCTGTTTCTTTATCACTAGCAGCGATTTTTTTATTCTCACTCCGACAAAGAGCGTAATTTGCATCAGCGAGACATAGAGTGAACCTAGAGCTACGATAACGACTCGATAATTGATCGGTCACAAAGTTGCACAAGGTCTATTTCTGCGCTTGCGACGCGGGTCGGTGACCGCGAGAGTAACTGATTGTGAATAATTGAAGATGATCCTCGTAAAAACGTCATAGATACGTAACAAGCGATATACATCGAACGCTTATTTTCGCGAAATAGAACGTTGTAAAATTATTTTCGAAAATTTTAAACTCTTCCTTTTATGAGTATGCATTCTCGAGAATATGCGTCTTAACAAAGGTAATTAAAGGAATCGTATTCGCGGTTTTTCCTCTTGCATCGAGAATAAATTTAATTCGTATTGATGGAAAATAAAGAAGAACAGGAAAGACGATGAGTGATTATTCGAATTATAATTAAATATTCGCAAGAGATCTATGCCTAACAATATAAAAATCTCGCGGTCGATGTGATCGCGTATGTAGCATATGTACATATATTTTATGTAGCATAAAAGAAAGAAATAATATTCATTTACACATAGCTGGGGGCAAAAGTATCGACATTCCGTTGTATAATTCCCTGTCACGATAAATAAATAGAAATCTTATAAAGAAATTGACAAAATAAGATTCAATTTTCTTACCTTTATTTTTAACAGAATAGAATACAATAAAACGACTTGTATTTCTTAGAACGCGATTTTACATCTAAATTTCAATTCGTCTCTTTTTTTGCAGAATTCTTTCAGAACTTGAGAAAATGGGCTCGCGAGTTTGGCGACATTTATTTAGTTTGGGTCGGCCTGCGGCCCTTCATCTTCCTCTACAGAGTGGAGACAGTGCAACCCTTGCTCAGTAGCAGTGTGCACATCGACAAGAGTCTCGAGTATGAATATTTGAAGCCGTGGCTTGGTACCGGTCTGGTGACTAGTACTGGTAAGTGATTCACGATTCATTAAGATCATATTGCGACGGCAATAAATATTAATAATTGTCATCGTATCAAAGATCGGATCTAAATATCTGTGCATTAATTAATAAATTAATTCACATATATCTTGATTCACATTTACAAATCAAATCACGTATTATCAATTATTATTATTGAGTTAAATAGCTACGTGAATGGATATAAATATTCAATGAATTGCATAAAACATTTTTACAATGTTAAAAGACATTACTACCAATAATAAATGATAAATGATAAATAAGCTAGATCCGAAGAAAAAGTTACTGTCGGCAATTTTTAAAATAATTTAAGATAAATTATATATATATCACAGTGATTGTGATCAGGTTAATGGCACGCTAGATAAGCGCACAATACAGTTATCTATATTAGGTGTATATGAGGAATTTAGAAGTTCAAATTCCAATTTTAAATTGGAATTCAATCTCTAAATTAATGTTTAAAATTTTATAAAAGACCAAAATATGTAACATCAAATCTTTATGCATATTTTATAAATCCTCAACTAGAAACGCGCGATTTTTATTTAGAAATCGTCCGCGTGTGCCCGACGAATATTCTTGAACATCACGTTCGACAAATATGTCACATCAATGTTTCATCATTGGTAACAACTGATAACACTGTAAGTTTTATTTTAGCAGTGTTGTCAAATTTCGAACTGTTCATGTTGCAATGTCGAATAGAATTTGCGTCCGAATCAAGCTTTAGGACAGACCGAGGAGATAAGCGGGATCAGGATCTACTTTGAAGCCGGTCTTATACACGATTATCAATCGGGGTCAAGTCTTTTGTCATGTTACTACCCGGTGCTCTTTGAAAATACTTGAATATCTAAAAAGTTTTACGCGGATTGAAATCTGTTCAACCTTCTAAACTCGTTTAAATCTAGCTACACACATACACACATACACATATATATATATAACGTAGAAGTTTTTACGATCTTCTTCTATTTAAATTTCAGTAGGCACTTCTGAGTTTTGATATATCATGCAATCTTGTCGAATAATATATGATATGTTTGATATACTGATAGTACCTAATTACTATAAGCTAATAAATTTTTAATTTGTTTCGAATTATTTTTAGAATGGACAACAATAATATTTTCATAATTTATAAATCACTCTACGGTGATGTTTCTCCTTGTATATTTAATTCTTTCTCTCTAAGAAAATAATATTTTTCTCTCGATATATCGCAGGTACCTTACGTGATATAGATAAATCTTATTCTCGGCTAAAACATTTGTTAGTTGACATAGTTGACATTTTGTGTGTTGCACTTTTATTGCATAACTTCTGAAATCAATGTCAATGTAGATGACGTGTTTCGAAAAATAAATCTCAGACATATCGATTGCATCGCTGAACAGTCACATCATCTCATAATTGTGTTCTCTCTCTTTAATATGTAATAAAATATATTATAATCAATGCCACATCAAAAATGTAAAATTAGTTAAAATTGTATATTTTTTTTTCAGGTGACAAATGGCACTTTCGCAGGAAACTGTTGACGCCGAGCTTCCACAGCGGTCTTCTCGAAACATATTTTAAAATTACGAAAGAAGAGATAAATGTTTTGATTTCCTGTCTCGAGAAAGAAGCGAACAAATGGTTTGATGTGGTACCTTACGCAAAACGTGCTACCCTTGATATTATATGCGGTGAGTTAATATAATTGCTGTTTTGATTCGATGATTTGATAAATCTAATTTTAAAGCTGTTTTAATTACATATATACAATAACCAATTTGCGATTTACGAATAAACAATTATTTCTAATAAGAAATATCGCTTTTTCTGATGTTAATTCGATGTATTTTTCGTTGTTTTATTATCGGATTTGTCACAAAAAAAAAAAAAATTAATTTTCTGCAATGCAACAACGTCGAACGTAATACAAGTCGACAAACTCTGTCAAATATATACGGCGGAACTAAAGCGTGAAGTATTTTTTTTTTGTCTTGCACGAGAATGAAAATTCAATCATCAGCTAATTGACACTCTTCGACATCCTTGATGATTTATATCAAAATCTGCATGATTTACGAATAGCGGTAAATCGCGAATCCTTTTTCTAGTCCAGATTGATAAGAACAACGCTTCTATCCGAGTTTGTATTATTAAGATAATACGACGATCCTTGTTTTCTCGTTTTCTTCCATATTTCAGATTTATTTCCTCGTTCTAATCTCTTCCGCATTCTTCTCGCATTACGATCGCTGTCGAGTTGAAGCAAATTGCGCGTTATTAATAGTTCTCATAATTATGTTTTAAAAAGAATGAAGCAGAGATTTCCGCGTATCAGTCGAGGTCATTGATTCTGACTTCTGATTAATAAGGAAAATTTTTCTCATTTGGCACAAATTTATCTGGCGCATTTTCATCGTACAAATAATACTTAAGAAAATAATACACGCGTGAAGAAGATGTGAGATAAATATTAACGATCAAAGGAAAAAATGTGTTAAAAGATTTCCGCAATGGTCTTCAACAGTTCTAATATTAGAATATTCAAACATTGTTCACGGCAATATACTCAAGGCGATTTGCAGAAAATTCTTTCGCGCCTCTTTTTTCATTGATTTTAACATCGTAAACAAGATTTCGTACATCTGCAATTTGTGTTATAGTGGCAAAAAATAATTAAATAATCAAGAATATGGAAAATCACAAGTAAAGTGTTGTACTACCGTAAAAGTCCTTGAAATAAATTCGTCATTTCCGATTTATCTTTCCCCGATAAAGCGAATCGTTTCGCTTTGGCATTGTGATTCACTTCCTTTGACGTAGACAAATCACGTATTTTCGAACTACACGATCGATGTATCTGCGTCTTACGTGTAGATGATTTAAAACGTCGATCTTTGTCGCGATCTTTTCGCGGCTGCGATAACTCGATTATCCGCTGCGTAGCTGTAGCGTTCATAGTGCTTAATTAGCATTTTGTTATCCAGATTCGTTTGATCTTTCATAATTAATAAATGTCTGTCATGCTTTGCACGAAACGTATTTGCTTCTACATAGATTCGCATTATTTTATATTCATAAAATTTGTTTTTTTTCTTTTGGCTAATTTCTTTACAACAATTATTTTCATTAAAGAAGTTTATTAAGAATTCTGACTGTCTAAAAGATTGCTAAATTAGGGACGTATAAACTACTAACCGATCGCTTTAAGCGCACTTGGTGAGACAAAATTAATGGGTTTCGTTGGTGAGTCGTGGATCACCTTTGGACACGCAAGCTCTAATATGCGGGACGTCGGCTTTGAAATTCCGCATTTCAAGGGCTTTTGAGAAGCCTCAGTTTCTGTTACGCGAGATCGAGGTTGTGCCAACCGAGTTGTCCGTTCTGTTATCTCGTAAAGCAAAGCAGATATTTTTACCTAAACAAATTTATGTATAAATATGATTTTAGAATATATCTCTATATCGCAATTGAACTCTGTAATATATTTCTAAGACCAATTAATTTTAATGTTAATTGAAAGTTAATTGAAACATAATTAAAACCTAATTGAAAGAAGTTAAAAGATAGAGGATAGATAAGATAATTTTTTTTAACTTTAAAATAAAGCACATAGATTTAATATAGAATTTTTGAAATAATGAAATCTTTTCAAAGGCAAAAATATGAAGCCAGAGAAATGATGCTGTTATTCAATTAAATAATTTTATTTGCATGTATTTTACATTCTCTTTGTAATTTCATTAAAAGAATGTGAATCAAAATACTATATAATTTAACAAAATGTGCTAGTATTTCTTTAAGAGTGTAAGTTTCAATTAAAAAGAGTCACGTACTTTAGCCAAATCTGTTAAAGGAACGTTAGGCTTGTGACTTTGCAGAGTAGATAATCCTGATATTGATGACACAGAGATAACCTTCTTTGGCTTGGGTTTCAAAATAGAAGTTTTAAAAATTAACGGATCATCGCTTGCATCATCATCGCATGAAGTCGAGTCCTCGTTATTTGAAGGGGAGCCTTCTTTGCTCGTTTGCTCTGCCCCAAATAGCGAATCTTTATCGAACAGATTGAACCCTGCAAATTCTGCGAGCTTGTCCGAGTCCTCATGAAATATTGTAATGAAATCCGCCATTTATTCACATTTGAAAGATAATGTCCATTTAGAAAAAAATAAATATTCGTAGCATATACACTTTTATATGATAATTTTTCTCAATCTTATCGCAATGTTTTTGTTGGATTATCTTATAATTATAATACCCAGAATTTTGAATTGGCAATAGGAAAAAAAAAAAAAGAAATAATCGATTATCACTCGCCTTGATTGTCTATTGCTTTAAAATGTTTCGACGAAGCGGCCTTGAAATATACGATATAATTGTTTTATGCAATTCATAATATTATTACAGTTAACTATTATTAATTTTCAGCGAAAGTATATCACACAATATTGCGTTAAACATTATTGCAAATAAATAATCCAAACTTTACAATATTTTTTTTGAAGCTTATAATTATTAACCATATACTGTGCTAATTAAAACAAAATATTAAATTGTTAAAAATTGTTTAGCATCTTCACCATATCTTATTAAAGTCATAGATAACAAAACTTATACGTTGCAATAATTTTATTGCAGAATCTGCAATGGGTTATAAACTTAATGCTCAAAGAAATTCCAAAAACGAATATGTCGAGGCTGTGGACAAGTAAGTGTCTTTTCCTTGAAATAATTTTTGTATAGGTTCTTTTTCCCAGTTCATACAATTTACAACATTGAAGTCATATAATGAAGTTATGTTACAAAAAGCCCGTTTTTGATTTTCAGAATAGCGTCTATTGTACAGATGCGTTTCACGAACGTGTGGATATCGTCTGATTTGATCTTCAACTTGACCAAAGCGGGAAAGGAGCACAATCACTCGCTCTCCGTTATTCACAATTTTGTCGACGAGGTAATGAAAATGTTCCAAGTTAAATGAATCCGGATGATTAAAGAGCTTTATAGCCATTTCCAACAACTGTGCCAATTTCGCGAGAGATCTCATGAAGCGAAGTTCGAACCAAAACTACGATTGGGATGATTTAGCACAATATATTGCGATTTCCAATTTTAAATTTCACCGGGGTAGCTATTGTTTAGTTGTTATTATAATTTTATTACAATTTTAAAATCAAAGTCGGGCACTAAATTTTGAATTAGATCACGATTTCAATCTCAAATTCAGGTAACATATTTGTATTTAGAAAAAAAGAAGAATCTCTTTCTTTTTTAACGCAATTTGATCTCAAAATTTTCCAAGCATAAATTATCCATCAGATCGGGAAAAAAATTTATTTATAATATTTTATTTTCGAAAATTTTAAACTCTTCCTTTTATGAGTATGCATTCTCGAGAATATGCGTCTTAACAAAGGTAATTAAAGGAATCGTATTCGCGGTTTTTCCTCTTGCATCGAGAATAAATTTAATTCGTATTGATGGAAAATAAAGAAGAACAGGAAAGACGATGAGTGATTATTCGAATTATAATTAAATATTCGCAAGAGATCTATGCCTAACAATATAAAAATCTCGCGGTCGATGTGATCGCGTATGTAGCATATGTACATATATTTTATGTAGCATAAAAGAAAGAAATAATATTCATTTACACATAGCTGGGGGCAAAAGTATCGACATTCCGTTGTATAATTCCCTGTCACGATAAATAAATAGAAATCTTATAAAGAAATTGACAAAATAAGATTCAATTTTCTTACCTTTATTTTTAACAGAATAGAATACAATAAAACGACTTGTATTTCTTAGAACGCGATTTTACATCTAAATTTCAATTCGTCTCTTTTTTTGCAGAATTCTTTCAGAACTTGAGAAAATGGGCTCGCGAGTTTGGCGACATTTATTTAGTTTGGGTCGGCCTGCGGCCCTTCATCTTCCTCTACAGAGTGGAGACAGTGCAACCCTTGCTCAGTAGCAGTGTGCACATCGACAAGAGTCTCGAGTATGAATATTTGAAGCCGTGGCTTGGTACCGGTCTGGTGACTAGTACTGGTAAGTGATTCACGATTCATTAAGATCATATTGCGACGGCAATAAATATTAATAATTGTCATCGTATCAAAGATCGGATCTAAATATCTGTGCATTAATTAATAAATTAATTCACATATATCTTGATTCACATTTACAAATCAAATCACGTATTATCAATTATTATTATTGAGTTAAATAGCTACGTGAATGGATATAAATATTCAATGAATTGCATAAAACATTTTTACAATGTTAAAAGACATTACTACCAATAATAAATGATAAATGATAAATAAGCTAGATCCGAAGAAAAAGTTACTGTCGGCAATTTTTAAAATAATTTAAGATAAATTATATATATATCACAGTGATTGTGATCAGGTTAATGGCACGCTAGATAAGCGCACAATACAGTTATCTATATTAGGTGTATATGAGGAATTTAGAAGTTCAAATTCCAATTTTAAATTGGAATTCAATCTCTAAATTAATGTTTAAAATTTTATAAAAGACCAAAATATGTAACATCAAATCTTTATGCATATTTTATAAATCCTCAACTAGAAACGCGCGATTTTTATTTAGAAATCGTCCGCGTGTGCCCGACGAATATTCTTGAACATCACGTTCGACAAATATGTCACATCAATGTTTCATCATTGGTAACAACTGATAACACTGTAAGTTTTATTTTAGCAGTGTTGTCAAATTTCGAACTGTTCATGTTGCAATGTCGAATAGAATTTGCGTCCGAATCAAGCTTTAGGACAGACCGAGGAGATAAGCGGGATCAGGATCTACTTTGAAGCCGGTCTTATACACGATTATCAATCGGGGTCAAGTCTTTTGTCATGTTACTACCCGGTGCTCTTTGAAAATACTTGAATATCTAAAAAGTTTTACGCGGATGGAAATCTGTTCAACCTTCTAAACTCGTTTAAATCTAGCTACACACATACACACATACACATATATATATATAACGTAGAAGTTTTTACGATCTTCTTCTATTTAAATTTCAGTAGGCACTTCTGAGTTTTGATATATCATGCAATCTTGTCGAATAATATATGATATGTTTGATATACTGATAGTACCTAATTACTATAAGCTAATAAATTTTTAATTTGTTTCGAATTATTTTTAGAATGGACAACAATAATATTTTCATAATTTATAAATCACTCTACGGTGATGTTTCTCCTTGTATATTTAATTCTTTCTCTCTAAGAAAATAATATTTTTCTCTCGATATATCGCAGGTACCTTACGTGATATAGATAAATCTTATTCTCGGCTAAAACATTTGTTAGTTGACATAGTTGACATTTTGTGTGTTGCACTTTTATTGCATAACTTCTGAAATCAATGTCAATGTAGATGACGTGTTTCGAAAAATAAATCTCAGACATATCGATTGCATCGCTGAACAGTCACATCATCTCATAATTGTGTTCTCTCTCTTTAATATGTAATAAAATATATTATAATCAATGCCACATCAAAAATGTAAAATTAGTTAAAATTGTATATTTTTTTTTCAGGTGACAAATGGCACTTTCGCAGGAAACTGTTGACGCCGAGCTTCCACAGCGGTCTTCTCGAAACATATTTTAAAATTACGAAAGAAGAGATAAATGTTTTGATTTCCTGTCTCGAGAAAGAAGCGAACAAATGGTTTGATGTGGTACCTTACGCAAAACGTGCTACCCTTGATATTATATGCGGTGAGTTAATATAATTGCTGTTTTGATTCGATGATTTGATAAATCTAATTTTAAAGCTGTTTTAATTACATATATACAATAACCAATTTGCGATTTACGAATAAACAATTATTTCTAATAAGAAATATCGCTTTTTCTGATGTTAATTCGATGTATTTTTCGTTGTTTTATTATCGGATTTGTCACAAAAAAAAAAAAAATTAATTTTCTGCAATGCAACAACGTCGAACGTAATACAAGTCGACAAACTCTGTCAAATATATACGGCGGAACTAAAGCGTGAAGTATTTTTTTTTTGTCTTGCACGAGAATGAAAATTCAATCATCAGCTAATTGACACTCTTCGACATCCTTGATGATTTATATCAAAATCTGCATGATTTACGAATAGCGGTAAATCGCGAATCCTTTTTCTAGTCCAGATTGATAAGAACAACGCTTCTATCCGAGTTTGTATTATTAAGATAATACGACGATCCTTGTTTTCTCGTTTTCTTCCATATTTCAGATTTATTTCCTCGTTCTAATCTCTTCCGCATTCTTCTCGCATTACGATCGCTGTCGAGTTGAAGCAAATTGCGCGTTATTAATAGTTCTCATAATTATGTTTTAAAAAGAATGAAGCAGAGATTTCCGCGTATCAGTCGAGGTCATTGATTCTGACTTCTGATTAATAAGGAAAATTTTTCTCATTTGGCACAAATTTATCTGGCGCATTTTCATCGTACAAATAATACTTAAGAAAATAATACACGCGTGAAGAAGATGTGAGATAAATATTAACGATCAAAGGAAAAAATGTGTTAAAAGATTTCCGCAATGGTCTTCAACAGTTCTAATATTAGAATATTCAAACATTGTTCACGGCAATATACTCAAGGCGATTTGCAGAAAATTCTTTCGCGCCTCTTTTTTCATTGATTTTAACATCGTAAACAAGATTTCGTACATCTGCAATTTGTGTTATAGTGGCAAAAAATAATTAAATAATCAAGAATATGGAAAATCACAAGTAAAGTGTTGTACTACCGTAAAAGTCCTTGAAATAAATTCGTCATTTCCGATTTATCTTTCCCCGATAAAGCGAATCGTTTCGCTTTGGCATTGTGATTCACTTCCTTTGACGTAGACAAATCACGTATTTTCGAACTACACGATCGATGTATCTGCGTCTTACGTGTAGATGATTTAAAACGTCGATCTTTGTCGCGATCTTTTCGCGGCTGCGATAACTCGATTATCCGCTGCGTAGCTGTAGCGTTCATAGTGCTTAATTAGCATTTTGTTATCCAGATTCGTTTGATCTTTCATAATTAATAAATGTCTGTCATGCTTTGCACGAAACGTATTTGCTTCTACATAGATTCGCATTATTTTATATTCATAAAATTTGTTTTTTTTCTTTTGGCTAATTTCTTTACAACAATTATTTTCATTAAAGAAGTTTATTAAGAATTCTGACTGTCTAAAAGATTGCTAAATTAGGGACGTATAAACTACTAACCGATCGCTTTAAGCGCACTTGGTGAGACAAAATTAATGGGTTTCGTTGGTGAGTCGTGGATCACCTTTGGACACGCAAGCTCTAATATGCGGGACGTCGGCTTTGAAATTCCGCATTTCAAGGGCTTTTGAGAAGCCTCAGTTTCTGTTACGCGAGATCGAGGTTGTGCCAACCGAGTTGTCCGTTCTGTTATCTCGTAAAGCAAAGCAGATATTTTTACCTAAACAAATTTATGTATAAATATGATTTTAGAATATATCTCTATATCGCAATTGAACTCTGTAATATATTTCTAAGACCAATTAATTTTAATGTTAATTGAAAGTTAATTGAAACATAATTAAAACCTAATTGAAAGAAGTTAAAAGATAGAGGATAGATAAGATAATTTTTTTTAACTTTAAAATAAAGCACATAGATTTAATATAGAATTTTTGAAATAATGAAATCTTTTCAAAGGCAAAAATATGAAGCCAGAGAAATGATGCTATTATTCAATTAAATAATTTTATTTGCATGTATTTTACATTCTCTTTGTAATTTCATTAAAAGAATGTGAATCAAAATACTATATAATTTAACAAAATGTGCTAGTATTTCTTTAAGAGTGTAAGTTTCAATTAAAAAGAGTCACGTACTTTAGCCAAATCTGTTAAAGGAACGTTAGGCTTGTGACTTTGCAGAGTAGATAATCCTGATATTGATGACACAGAGATAACCTTCTTTTGCTTGGGTTTCAAAATAGAAGTTTTAAAAATTAACGGATCATCGCTTGCATCATCATCGCATGAAGTCGAGTCCTCGTTATTTGAAGGGGAGCCTTCTTTGCTCGTTTGCTCTGCCCCAAATAGCGAATCTTTATCGAACAGATTGAACCCTGCAAATTCTGCGAGCTTGTCCGAGTCCTCATGAAATATTGTAATGAAATCCGCCATTTATTCACATTTGAAAGATAATGTCCATTTAGAAAAAAATAAATATTCGTAGCATATACACTTTTATATGATAATTTTTCTCAATCTTATCGCAATGTTTTTGTTGGATTATCTTATAATTATAATACCCAGAATTTTGAATTGGCAATAGGAAAAAAAAAAAAAAAAAAAATCGATTATCACTCGCCTTGATTGTCTATTGCTTTAAAATGTTTCGACGAAGCGGCCTTGAAATATACGATATAATTGTTTTATGCAATTCATAATATTATTACAGTTAACTATTATTAATTTTCAGCGAAAGTATATCACACAATATTGCGTTAAACATTATTGCAAATAAATAATCCAAACTTTACAATATTTTTTTTGAAGCTTATAATTATTAACCATATACTGTGCTAATTAAAACAAAATATTAAATTGTTAAAAATTGTTTAGCATCTTCACCATATCTTATTAAAGTCATAGATAACAAAACTTATACGTTGCAATAATTTTATTGCAGAATCTGCAATGGGTTATAAACTTAATGCTCAAAGAAATTCCAAAAACGAATATGTCGAGGCTGTGGACAAGTAAGTGTCTTTTCCTTGAAATAATTTTTGTATAGGTTCTTTTTCCCAGTTCATACAATTTACAACATTGAAGTCATATAATGAAGTTATGTTACAAAAAGCCCGTTTTTGATTTTCAGAATAGCGTCTATTGTACAGATGCGTTTCACGAACGTGTGGATATCGTCTGATTTGATCTTCAACTTGACCAAAGCGGGAAAGGAGCACAATCACTCGCTCTCCGTTATTCACAATTTTGTCGACGAGGTAATGAAAATGTTCCAAGTTAAATGAATCCGGATGATTAAAGAGCTTTATAGCCATTTCCAACAACTGTGCCAATTTCGCGAGAGATCTCATGAAGCGAAGTTCGAACCAAAACTACGATTGGGATGATTTAGCACAATATATTGCGATTTCCAATTTTAAATTTCACCGGGGTAGCTATTGTTTAGTTGTTATTATAATTTTATTACAATTTTAAAATCAAAGTCGGGCACTAAATTTTGAATTAGATCACGATTTCAATCTCAAATTCAGGTAACATATTTGTATTTAGAAAAAAAGAAGAATCTCTTTCTTTTTTAACGCAATTTGATCTCAAAATTTTCCAAGCATAAATTATCCATCAGATCGGGAAAAAAATTTATTTATAATATTTCCGCTTTCGTCACATATACGGAATGCTTCATTTGCAGGTAATCGCGAAGAGAAAGGCCGAATGGAAGTTGAAACATGATGGAAATTTTAATAAACCGTCGAATAAGAAACAGGCTCTGCTGGATTTGTTACTCGAGATATCACAAAACGGAACCGTCCTTTCAGATGAAGATATTCGTGAAGAGGTAAATACTTTTATGTACGCCGGACACGATACGGTGGCTACCAGCATAGCTTGGACGCTTTACGCTTTGGGGCGACATCCCGAGTACCAGGTACGTCCTATCGTATTGCATTATTTAACTCTAGCAATTCTCGTCGGAATTTAATAAATCTTCGACATTTACAATATTTTATCCTTGAGAGGGAAAGATTTCCAGAAGATTTAATTAATAAATATAATATAATAAATATATATATTTAATCAATAAATATATACTTTTTTCTCACATTTTTAATATTAACTTAACAACATCTTCTCAACATCTTCTCTTGCCTTCTTTTTAGGAAAAGATCATAGACGAATATAACGATGTAATGGGCACAACGGAAATTACACTAAACAACATTCACAAATTAACATGGCTGGATGCCTGCATTAAGGAGCAATGGAGGCTATATCCAGTAGCTCCGCTCATAGCGAGACAGATCTATAAGCCGATCGACTTAAGTAAGTACCTCGTATTTTTTGAGAAATCAATATATCTCTCTTCACGATTTCCAGCAAGATATTATTTATTTGATAATATTACATTGCATTATTATTTCATATTTCTCAATTAATGTTATGTGTTATAGATATATAACATTAGTTGATATAAATAATAAATACTTGTAGAATATTGTTTTATTGAATAATTGTCAAACAACAAATTTTAAGATGTAGCTATTAATATTGCAAATATAATTGAAAATTGCGCGATGCAAACGTGATAGGCTTCTCTTATCTATACGAATTATGTTTCTCTATTTTTAGTGGGCATCGAAATTCCGCCAGGCTCGACGGTTATCATCAACTCCTATCTGCTACATCGTGACGATCGTTACTTTCCCGATCCGCATGTTTATCGTCCGGAGCGTTTCTTGCCGGACAGTCCCAAATTACCGCCTTACGTTTTCATCCCTTTCAGTGCCGGTTCACGAAATTGCATCGGCTGGAGATTTGCCACGTTAGTCATTAAAGTGGCCGTCTTATCCATATTAAAAAGTTTCCGCGTGGAAGCTCTCGACACGGAAGACCAACTGCGCTTCATATCCGAATTGGTACTTATCAATGCAAACGGACTTCATCTCAAAATAACACCACGCAAGCAATGAAAACGAAATTCTTTTCCATCTTTAAAATATACTAGAACATCACAAGCGCGCGCCATTTATTTTATGATACATAGAGCTTATACTAATTGAGGGGCCTTGCCTATATGCCAACCATAGCCAGTTGGTTAACGTCAAAATATTTCCTTGCTGTGACTCTCGGAACACGTTCGATATATAACAAGAAAATTTTTTTCTTGCGGGAACAATTATAGAAGTTTTAATAATACTAGCACAACACAACGCGCGCTTCGCGCGCGGCATTTATTCTTTTTCATTAAACATTTTTAACGATATATACACAAAATAACTGTCAAAATATGCAATGACAGCCGCTCACGAAGTAAGCGCAATGACAGAACCAATCAGCATCGCGGAAAAGAGGCAACAATACACTTCGAGACTTTCGAGTATCGACATAACATGCCTCTTTTAGATAGGGAGTAATATGAGAAGATGATATGTTAGCTTTAATTTAGGACCGAAAGTCTCTCCTTCTCTCTCTGCTTTACTTTAAAAAGATTAGGAAAAGAAAAAGAAGCAAGACAATCAAAAATTGAATCTGCCGCTTATTGAGCAAATATCTTCTTAATCTGTTTTCAGTAAAAATTATATATATGTAAAAAAATTATGTATATGTATGTGTGTATGTTTATAAAAATATGAATCTTATATTTTAATGTTATTATGTACTTTCTTTTTTTCCTTTAGTTTTCATAATTTATTCAAACAATAAGTTCAAAAATTTTAAATTATAATATTAATTATAATATTATAATATGAATAATTTTTAGCAACAAATGAGCAACAAATAAAAATATTAATTAGAATTGATTCTGCTCATTCTGTTCCGCTAACTTATAAGACGTTTCCAGAAAATCCTGTTTATGTAAAATGATTGATAATCTAATTATATATATTATACGAAAAGTCTGATTGTGCTCAGACAATCGGAATCTATCTGTCAAGCTGTTTAGTTATTTTAGTTATAAGAGTGTTAAATAGCGTGTTCTATATTTATTCGGTAAGATAAATATATTTTTTATTTATATTTTATTATATCCACATAAAAGTTCTAAACCGAGTTGGTTTAATACTGTGGTTTATTTAATAAACTCTAAATATTTTTAATTTATAAATATTTTATAAACTTTGTAATTATAAATATTTTGTCACTTAACGCAAATATTTTAAAAAGTATACATTGTATCAAAAACTTTCGACAAAAATTAAAGGATTTTAAAAAGAACATAACGTATTAGTAATGTTTGTTTGAGAAGTTTTAGAAAGCTGACTAGAGACGGACCGAAAAACGCAAAGTCACCATACTCCTACCAATCTAACTAATTAATATACATATTAAACACGAGATGTAACGGGGCTCACTCGCTCACTCAATCGCATCGTGATAAAATACTATACGTATCGCGTCCAATCTCTATAACCGCGAATAAATGAAAAATGTATCAAGTCTTATGAAATATTGTATATTAATTTCTACCAAAAGTCCGGGAGTGTCTTATTCTGAGTGTGGATCTTAATCCTTGGGGCGTACAAATCCCCAAAAAAACCCTTTCTTAGCGGCTAGGGGCATAACAACTGTATTATATTTATATTTATTTATATTTAACAAATAATAATTTTTTTGTTGCAAATCAAAGATTCACGTAAAGAAAATTGAGAAATATACATAGATTAACGCATACCGCAACATAATTCGATCAATATGGACTACTTGATCTATTGCTCAACGGCACTGGTGATATCGTTCGGTCTCTTCTACATATACGCCAAATACAAACTATCTTACTGGAGTAGACGTGGTGTCAAAACCCCTCCGACAAATTTGATTTTTGGCAATTTTAAAGACTGCATTACTTTAAAGAAGTCGGCGGGTGAGGTGATATGTGAGATCTATAACAGTGCCGATCCGGACGATCCCTATATTGGTTTTTATATCTTCCACAAGCCTATGCTGCTCCTGCGGAACCACGATTTGATCAAACAGGTGATGATAACAGACTTCCAGGTTTTCCCGAATCGACGGTTTGGTTCAAGTAACGAGAGGGATGTAGTAGGTCTAGACAGTCTCCTGTCTATCAAACAGCCTAGATGGAAATATGTGAGAGGAAAGTTGACTTCGTCGTTGACTGGGCAGAAGTTGAAGAATATGTTGCCGCTGATGGAGGAGTGCGGAAAACCTATGTTGAAATTCATCGAGAACTTCCTGGCAGATGAGATTGGCCAGAATAAGTTCGAAATGAAAGACATCTGTAGTCGTTATATCAACGATGTTATAGCTTCTATAGCGTTCGGTATTAATACAAATTCATTTGAAGAAAAAGAGAACGCTTTCTGGAAAAATGGTGAGATATTGCTGTATTTTTATCTGACGCGTGAAAACTAATAAAGGGCTATTAACAAATATTTGACAAATATTTTTTATGCACTATTATTTGGCACTTGCATGAGAGAATTAATTGTTCTTTATTTAGTAATAAAGTAGCAAAAATTGAAGCAATGCAAAAGCATAAAAGATGTTTAAAATATGTCGAAAAGACGTCTTTTCAACATTTTGCACATTTCTACGTATGTTTTTATTTTCTTAACAAAATTGGATAATAGTTAATTTACATATAAAGAAATTTTAACTATAACTAATAATTTGTAGGTTTCGCGAATAGCAACCTATCATTATTATCATATTCATTTTCTTATTTCATAGAAATTAAGTAATCACTAATAATTTGTAGGTTTCGCGAATAGCAACCTATCATTATTATCATATTCATTATCTTATTTCATAGAAATTAAGTAATCACTAATGATAATAGGTTGCTATAATGCAAAACATGCGAAAGAATGATAAGAAAATTGTGTTATTTCATTTATGAAATATACAATTATAGACATATATGTATGGAGTAAAAAATTACAATATACATTACTTAGCATTTGCAGGTTTAAAGATCTTCAGAGGGTTCACGAACAGCATAAAGTTCATTATTCTCTTCTTCATTCCTGAATGGGGTCTCTTTATAGGGCCTTTGATTAAAGAACCCGCGAATTATTTTCGCGAAATTTTTTGGGATTCCATGAACACCAGAGAAAGAATGGGATATAAAAGAGGAGATGTCATAGATTCTTTGTTAGCGCTTAAAAATGGAAATCAAGATCCTATTTATAGTAAGGATCGTTCGACTCGTAAAATAATTTAAATAGTAACACACAATTTTATATATACAGGGTGCGGCATTTATAGTGACGCGGGCATATTTTTCGGAAACGAAGTTGTAATGCTATAAAGTTCTATATATTTTTCCGTATTTTATAAATCTATAAATTTTGAAGAGAATGAAAGATATTTATTAATATTAATATCGTTGTTTGATATAAATATCCGTAGAGTTTGAAGGCGATAATTTAGTGGCGCAGTCGGCCAGTTTGTACATAGCTGGATTCGAGGCAACCACGACTACAATCGCATTTACTCTAGCTGATTTGTCGCGTCATCCAGAACATCAAGCCATTTTATATGACGAAATACAAACACATCTGTCAGGACAAAAAATGACCGTGGATTTAATTAATGAAATATCTTTCTTGGATTGCGTCATAAATGAATCAATGAGGTTACATCCTCCTTTGCCTATTTTGGATAGGACAGCTATAAAAGATTATAAGGTTAATAATAACAGCAATAGACTTATTGTCAGAATACTAAGAACTAAGTGAGGAAACTGGCAAATAAAAACCAAGGCACGGGTATTGATGCGCGAACTTATTATTGTTAAATCTTTTAATAAATGTGTATTAAAAATGTACGTTCTGGACTGTTTTTTAGTCCATCTTCAGCGTAGATATAAATATATGAAGATTATATTGGTATTTTAAAACTGGATATACACAATACTTGTTGTTGCAATCAAATTTTAAATTAAAATCGATAATCAGAGAGAAAGACTCACTAAAACCCACGTAGAATCTGTACAAATCAGTGAACAACTTCTAAACACCATCACCACACGTATATCCGTCGATGGTTTACATTATAATATAGATTATATTGTCTATTAATTTGTACAGACTCTACGCGGATTTTAGAGAGTCTTCCTTTTTGAATATCGATTTTAATTTAAAATTTGACTGCAACAACAAATATTGTGTGTCAAGTTTTAAAATACCAATGTAACCTTCATATATTTATATCTATGCCGAAGATGGTTCAAGAAACGGTCCGAAACATTTCTAATATACATTTATTACTAAAATTTAAGAATAATTAATTCGCGCAATACCCTTGGCTCTTATTTGCCAGTTTTTCCTCTTAAATTATAAGATGAACACAATCTTATAAATGACTGAATAAATCATTATATACATTATCATTTTCTTAATAATTACATACATTTTCACTTTCATAGCTTCCAGGCACTGAGTTAACAATCGAGAAGGGTGTTTCGGTATATGTCTCTATAAATGCAACGTGTCAAGATCCTAAGTACTTTCTTAATCCAAATGATTTTATGCCATCGAGAATAGAGATAGAACAGGAGAAAAAATTTTATGAAACTTTGGCATTTGGTATTGGACCACGAGCGTGTATAGGTCAGTTATATAAAATACAATCTGACAAAAATAAATTGTGTAATTAATAATGACAGATGTAATTTATACTTCTTCCTTTTTTTTTATTATACAAATAGACATGTAACAGACATATAAATTTACATTTATACAATTATATCTGTCTTTTAAATTTTCAGGACAAAGATTGGCTATATTACTTGTAAAAGTAGCGTTAATTATGATTCTGTCGAATTATACTGTTTGCTGCGACATGAATAAAAAACGCACAAATGATAACGCAATGGGCTTTTTCACGTACGTAGCTGATGGTTTGTATTTGCTATTCAAAAAACGTGACAAATAAGTGTACAAATAAGCAAATACATAGATATACTTTTGTGTAAGCATATTTCTAGCAAGCGCAATGGAATTTGTAATTTTCACAATATTTGTAATTAAATAAAAATTGAATTAGATAGAAACGGAAATTTCTTGATTGATCCTATTTTATTAAAGATTTAATTAGATATGGATAAATATAAGCAACATAAACTAATGGATTTTCTAATGTAATTTTTATTAATTTCACATTGATTTGTATGTGTAACAATTTATAAATTTTAATCATAAACATTTTATATGTATTTGCGAAACTATATTGCAAAATAAATATATATTCAAGTTACAAGTTGAAAAAAACAATATTTGTTTCTAGAATGAGCCTGCTACATATTAGGTAAGTGCTTATAATACTTGGAAAATTATCTTTTCAAAGAAAAAAAAAAGTTTTACGCGCTTATCTAAAAAGAATGTTATAGAATGAATATCTCGAAACATAAGCCTTGGAGCCGAGAGATATCAGAGTACACCTTATCAACAAAATAATTTTCAATATAATCCAGCCAGCTGCGTTAAAGTTGCCACATATCTAAGATCTAATTATCTAATATATGATTGAAAATCTAATATAATAATAAATTTATTTCTTCAGATTTTTGTGCAAATATATAAAAACAATTTTTTTTCTAGCAAAAATTATTTTATTGTTACTCATAACTTTATATTAATCATACTCAAATTGTATAAATATTTTTTACGGCATAAATGATCAAAATAATCAATAATTAAAGCAAAAATTAAAAAATGTTCAAATTATAAATTATTTATGTGTGCATCTTTGTATGCCCATTGACAGGCAGTCACACATATTCCAGGATTAAATATTTGACCCAATTTGTCCTAATTTACCCATTTAAGGCACAATGGATTTATTATCATCATAAATTTAAACTTTTATATATCAATTATTGTCATAAAAATATTTTAAATTATTTGATTTTTATTACTAATATTTGTCATCTTATAGATATATTTTATACATGTATTTGATAATTTTTCCAAATCCATTATCTCATTATTAAAATGACAAATAGTTTAAACTCACCGATGTAATGTGCAGCGGCAAAATTACACAGCATGATATACAACGTTAAATCTGTAAAATACACAAACATATTTATTTAATCTAAATTAAAGCAAATAATATAGTTGTGTGCGTTAAAATTTTTTTTTATTAAATTTTTTAAAATAAGAAATAAATAAATGAGTTATTAACCTTATGGTTCCTCTGCCGCCTCCCGATGCTGTCCCGAGCCTCCTTTTCCTCTCTTATTCTAATATTGTCACTCCTTCATGGCATTCAGTAGAAAAAACAATTAATTACAATTAAGAGCGCACTCGTTAAAACAGTTAATTACGATTACGGGCATACTAATTACATCTGAATACAATTAACGATCGCGCGGCACTTTGCACGGCACTATCGTCTTTAATGGCAGGTGACGCGCATTTGGCGGGAAAAAAAAGAGGAAAAAACGCGCGAAGTTCGATCGCTCGCGATATCTCTCGCGACTAATGGCCCTCGCACACTGGACGCGATGAGCGATGAGCGATGGGCGATATCCAATGAGAGCTCTGGTTTTCCGAAAAAATAAAGTTCTCATTGGATATCGCCCATCCTTCATCGCTCATCGCGTCCAGTGTGCGAAGGCCATAATCTCGCGCATGCGCGCGAATACAGCAATGATTTACGATCGCATTTATACGCTACGTGGTCGAAAATTATTAAAATATGATTTTAATGCATAACAATTATTGTAAATATACGTATGTATGTATATCATGAGATGTGTATCAATGATTTATATAAATTCCTATAGCGTCGATATCTACTGCAGTAAATAAAGCGCGTGAAATTATTTTCTTCGACGAACAGCCCCGTCGCCTCGATGCGTTTAATCGCTCGATCGAATTAAGTAATTGCGTGAATTGATACTCTCACTAATCACACACACGCACAACAAAACACTTGTATATCAAGATCGTGTTCAACGCGATATTTTTCGCGATTGCGTCTCAAGAATCAATGCGACGCCGCGTGGTTGACCTGTGGTTGCTCGCCGTGCGAATGACAAGGTGACCGCGCGTAAACAACACGTCGCGTCGCACGTGTCGCTAAACGCCGGATTTACATACTACGCAATCGAAAATTATTGAAATATGATTCCAATTATGACTTACTCATCAATTAAATGCATCGCGATTTAGAATCGATGCATTCCATGTTCGCGACGTTTCATTACCTACTGCGGAATGACGTCACGAGCTGACTTCACGTTGATTATGGAGAGAAATAATTTTATATATTTATGTACTTTTGATGTATCAAGCAATTTTAAAATATTCATAAAAACTATTTTGGCCTCATTTAGACTTGAGATATATGTATCTGTATCATATGGCGTAATAAAGTTTTTTAATTCGTTTTCTAAATCAATAAATAGTAGGGGTATCATTAATTGCTCCTCAGATTTTGCAAGAGATTCTGACTTTATGTTATTTGCCTCATAAGATTGATCATTTTTATACTGTAGTAATCGTTTTTTTGATGAACTTAAAAGCTTAATACCAAATATTCCCCAGAGTTTACAGATATGTGCAAGTGTTTTGTTATAATTATCACGATTTTCAGAAAATTCTGTAGAATCCTCATCCATTACCACTAATGAAAAATATGTCTGTATCATATAATTTGCAGCAACAAGATGAACTTTGGCTTCCATAAAGCGATCATTAAATAAAAAGTAAGTACATAAATCAGCTGAAGTTTTAGCCCAAGACAAAGAGATTTTGTTTTCTGTTGGGACTTCTCTTTTAGTCACTTGTTCAGTCAATAAATTATGAATGTATATTACAAATTTATGCTTATCTCTAGGTACAACACGATACAGCTCTTCTATGTTACCTAAAGTTAAGATATGAAGGTTAACCAGCAAAATTTTGGAGTTTTCTGTTTTATCTTTACCACAAACAATAATGTTTTTTACATTGATAGGATGTGGATATTCATCCTCTTCCTTTGTATAATTTATATATAGTTCCATTGCTTTATCTAACAATGGATAACAATTTTCATACTGCGATAATATTTTCCAAACTTCACTTAGTTCGATAAGTACTTCGATAGCTATCAAAATAGCTTTACGGTGCAATTCTTTTCCCTTCAACAATTCCATACATTTCACAAGATGATCTTTACCAACATGAAAATTTTCTTGTTTGAAAACATATATGTAACCTAAATTACTATAAGCTACCGCAAGAGCTATAATATTATCAAATTCAATTTCTGTCGAAGTAGTTACATTTTGAAATAAATTATTCATCTTGACTTCTATCGCACTGATCTTTTTCTTCATCTTTTTGGAAATTTGATCTTTTTCATGTTTTATTTCAAACGATAAATTTAAAATTTCTAAGAATGATGCATCAACATTCATACTTTCAACATCCTCGCTTGTATTTGCTTCTTTTTCTCTTTCTTTTTCTAAAAATCAATATTAAAACATTATTCAATGAATAATATAATAGATCATTTTGAATAAATAATTCTTATCCATATTACCAGATATATCTATTTGTTTGATGCGAGAATTCATGATTTCAACAAGAAATTCCAACATTATTGCTCACAATATATTTTACAACAAAAATTTCTCTTATTAAAATCGTGTTACGCCAAGATTGTCATATATGTCCAAAATTAATTGTCAATAAACGATTTTCGCATAACACTTATCCGTTACTAATTTCCAACAAATGTCCAAAGTACTTAAATACAAAACGGTAAACAGTTTTGTCCTCATTCTCTCTCTTCCTCGCGACCTACAAGAGAAAGTGGGGATAGCCAAAATTGCGCTCTGTCTCTTTATTCATTTTTTTATTTTATTATTATCTAACAAGAAAACACAAATAAACACTGTGTCAAATGATCATCTAAAGTTCTCTATTCGATATCAGGATATCTAATCGTGTGTGACATTGCGGTTATGTCATATAATATTTCTTGCCATAGCATATAAAATACATAGACTTGTTCAGCTCGGCTCTCCTTCGGTTTCCTTCGGGTAGATTCGGCTCGACTATATACTTGTCCATATTAAGAACTTTCAGCGTGGAAGTCTCGACACGGAAGACCAACTGCGCTTCATATCCGAATTGGTACTTATCAATGCAAACGGACTTCATCTCAAAATAACACCATGCAAGCAATAAAAACGAAATTCTTTTCCATCTTTATAATATACTAGAACATCACAAGCGCGCATTACGCGCGCACCATTTATTTTATGATACATAAAGCATATACTAATTGAGGGGCCTTGCCTATATGTATACCAACCATAGCCAGTTGGTTAACGTCAAAATATTTCCTTGCTGTGACTCTCGGAACACGTTCGATATATAATAAGAAAATTTTTTTCTTGCGGTAACAGTTATAGAAGCTTTAATAATAGTAATATGAAAAGATGATATGTTAGCTTTAATTTAGGACCGAAAATCTATTTTTCTCTCTCGCTTTACTTTAAAAATATTAGGAAAAGAAAAAGAAGCAAGACAATCAAAAATTGAATCTGCCGATTATTGAGCAAATATCTTCTTAATCTATTTTCAGTAAAAATTATATATATGTAAAAAAATTATGTATATGTATGTGTGTATGTTTATAAAAATATGAATCTTATATTTTAATGTTATTATGTTCTTTCTTTTTCTCTGCTTTACTTTAAAAAGATTAGGAAAAGAAAAAGAAGCAAGACAATCAAAAATTGAATCTGCCGATTATTGAGCAAATATCTTCTTAATCTATTTTCAGTAAAAATTATATATATGTAAAAAAATTATGTATATGTATGTGTGTATGTTTATAAAAATATGAATCTTGTATTTTAATGTTATTATGTACATTCTTTTTTTCCTTTAGTTTTCATAATTTATTTAAATAATAAATTCAAAAATTTTAGAAATTATAATATTAATTATAATATTATAATATAATATGAATAATTTTAATGTGTTTTTAAATAATTAACTGCATTTTTGGAAAAAATTTATTAAACATTGTCGCTCCTTCATGGCATTCACTAGCGAAAACAATTAATTACAATTAAGAGCGCACTCGCAAAAACAGTTAATTACGATTACGCGCATACTAATCACATCCGAATACAATTAACGATCGCGCGGCACTTTGCACGGCACTATCGTCTCCTCATAATTAAAATGACAAATAGTTTAAACTTATCGGTGTGATGTGCAGCGGCAAAATTACATAGCATGATATACAACGTTAAATCTGTAAAATACACAAACATATTTATAAAAGATTATCGTTATTAATCACAGTTTTTTTAGTTTAATCAAAGAACGTCATTTTTACGTCAAAATTAGAGAGCCTTTAGTTAATGTTTATCTGTGACTCCAGGATTTTCTCTAAAATGAACAAAGTTATTATAAGAATATATAATTATAAGAGAAATGACAAAAAATCACAAAACTTCAGAAACATTGCAATTCAAAAACTCTTAATTTTTTTTTTATTTTGTCAATATTATGAGCATATAATAAAAAAATTATTATACTAGTTATGGAATATATACACATAATAAACAGATTGTATAAAAATAATTTTAATGTATAAAAATTTTGATTTTTAAGTCTAAATATTTCTTTCCTTTATGAACAGTTTTATGAATATCTCTGTTTTTATGTCTATAATGTTGCAAATAGGAGACATGCATAAAAGTTTCAAATGTAAAACGGGTTGATATAACAAAAACTTATAGAAAAATATGAGTCAAATCTAAAAATATATAATAAACATATTATAGGCAAATACGAGAAAAATCTAAAAATTCAAATATGTAAAAAAAGCTATGATTTTAAGTTTAATGATCTATAAATAAATTGAAATTGTCTATGGTATTTTTTATTAATTGCGTAGTTTCCATTCTCATTTCGTCAGTAATTTCTTCAAGTTCATCTAATTCCTCAGATCTCATATCTAAGAGATTGGAATAAGCAACTGCTAGTTTAAAATTAATTTTCTTAACCTGGAGAAATTCTTTAACTGTATTATATTTTGAATGTACTGTACTAACAGCATTCTTCAAAACATCTATATGTTGTTTAACTACTTTTATCTGTTCATTTTGACTTCGTTGAAAATATGCATAATATTTGTATGCTTCGGAAATTCCTATTATTATTTCCACATGATTTAAAAAATATCTTTCAACTGTATAATATACTTTTGATGAATCAAACCATCTTAAAATATTCGTAAAAACTATTTTGGCCTCATTTAGATTTGAGACATATGTATCTATGTTATATGGTGTAAAAAAGTTTTTTAATTCATTTTCTAAATCAATAAATAGTAGGGGTATCATTAATTCCTCCTCAGATTTTGCAAGAGATTCTGACTTTATGTTATTTGCCTCATAAGATTTATCACTTTTATACTGTAGTAATCGTTCTTTTGATGAACGTAAAAGCCTTATACCATATATTCCCCAGAGTTTACAGGTATATGCAAGTACTTTGCTATAATTATCACGATTTTCAAAAAATTCTGTAGAATCCTCATCCATTACCACTAATGAGAAATACGTCTCTATCATATAATTTGCAGCAACAAGATGAACTTTGGCTTCAATAAAGCGATCATGAAATAAGAAGTAAGTACATAAATCAGCTGAAGTTTTAGCCCAAGACAAAGAGATTTTGTTTTCTGTTGGGACTTCTCTTTTAGTCACCAGTTCAGTCAATAAATTATGAACGTATATTACAAATTTATGCTTATCTCTAGGTACAACACGATACAGCTCTTCTATTTTATCTAAAGTTAAGAAATGAAGGTCAGCCAGAAAAATTTTGGAGTTTTCTGTTTTATCTTTACCACAAGCAATAATTTCTACATCGATAGGATGTGGATATTCATCCTCTTCCTTTGTATAATTTATATATAGTTCCATTGCTTTATCTAACAATGGAACACAATTTTCATACTGCAATAATTTTTTCCAAACTTCACTTAGTTCGATAAGTACTTCGATAGCTATCAAAATAGCTTTACGGTGCAATTCTTTTCCCTTCAACAATTCCATACATTTTACAAGATGATCTTTACCAACATCATAATTTTCTTGTTTGTAAATATATATGTAACCTAAATTACAATAAGCTGCCGCAAGAACTATAATATTATCAAATTCAATTTCTGTCGAAGTAGTTACATTTTGAAATAAATTATTCATCTTGACTTCTATCGCACTGATCTTTTTCTTCATCTTTTTGGAAATTTGATCTTTTTCTTGTTTTATTTCAAACAATAAATTTAAAATTTCTGAGAAGGATACATCAACATTTATACTTTCAACATCCTCGCTTGTATTTGCTTCTTTTTCTCTTTCTTTTTCTAAAAATCAATATTAAAACATTATTCAATGAATAATATAATAGATCATTTTGAATAAATAATTCTTATCCATGTTACCAGATATATCTATTTGTTTGATGCGAGAAGTGACGATTTCAACAAGAAAGTCCAACATTATTGCTCACAATATATTTTACAACAAAAATTTCTCTTATTAAAATCGTGTTACGCCAAGATTGTCATATATGTCCAAAATTAATCGTCAATAAAGGATTTTCGCATAACACTTATCCGTTACTAATTTCCAACAAACGTCCAAAGTACTTAAATACAAAAAGGTAAACAATTTTGTCCTCATTCTCTCTCTTCCTCGCGACCTACAAGAGAAAGTGGGGATAGCCAGAATTGCGCTCTGTCTCTTTATTCGTTTTTTCATTTTATTATTTTCTAACAAGAAAACACAAATAAACACTGTGTTAAATGATCATCTAAAGTTCTCTATTCGATATCTAATCGTGTGTGACATTGCGGTTATGTCATGTAATATTTCTTGCCATAGTATATGAAATACATAGACTTATTCAGCTCGGATCTCCTTCGGTTTTCTTCGGGTAGATTCGGTTCGACTATATACTTGTGATTGGTGGCCTCTCATCACAGAATAACCTCTATCTATGTATTTTATATGTCTATGATTTTTTCTTGCTTGAAACAGCTGGAAAGCATGTGCAGATTGTCAGATGCATTAAAATTAAAGATTGAAAGATTGAAGATGAAAAATTTAAATTTAACCAATTAAAGAAGAAAGATATTTTAATTCCTTTCGTTTTGATTAGTCGAATTTCAAACTTTAATCTTTAATCTTCATACGTAGTCTTCTCTAGTACGGAAATGTGGGGGAGAGCAGTCCAAATAAGGGATATTTTAGTTTAGAGAGACAGAGCTGTTCAAAATAGCGGGCAATAGTGAAGGATATATGATATATATATGTATGTGTCATATGTGTGTGTGGAGTGGGGGTGCCCATACCATCATAGTATACCAGTCGTAATGTAATCGTGCGATATATTATCTACTAACAAGTAAATTCCTGACAATTTGCATTGGCCTGCGTTTGCCATCGGGCACAGTGTGCCGATGGATTGCCTGTCGAATAGTAGTTACATTTTGAAATAAATTATTCATCTTGACTTCTATCGCACTGATCTTTTTCTTCATCTTTTTGGAAATTTGATCTTTTTCTTGTTTTATTTCAAACAATAAATTTAAAATTTCTGAGAAGGATACATCAACATTTATACTTTCAACATCCTCGCTTGTATTTGCTTCTTTTTCTCTTTCTTTTTCTAAAAATCAATATTAAAACATTATTCAATGAATAATATAATAGATCATTTTGAATAAATAATTCTTATCCATATTACCAGATATATCTATTTGTTTGATGCGAGAATTCATGATTTCAACAAGAAATTCCAACATTATTGCTCACAATATATTTTACAACAAAAATTTCTCTTATTAAAATCGTGTTACGCCAAGATTGTCATATATGTCCAAAATTAATCGTCAATAAAGGATTTTCGCATAACACTTATCCGTTACTAATTTCCAACAAACGTCCAAAGTACTTAAATACAAAAAGGTAAACAATTTTGTCCTCATTCTCTCTCTTCCTCGCGACCTACAAGAGAAAGTGGGGATAGCCAGAATTGCGCTCTGTCTCTTTATTCGTTTTTTCATTTTATTATTTTCTAACAAGAAAACACAAATAAACACTGTGTTAAATGATCATCTAAAGTTCTCTATTCGATATCTAATCGTGTGTGACATTGCGGTTATGTCATGTAATATTTCTTGCCATAGTATATGAAATACATAGACTTATTCAGCTCGGATCTCCTTCGGTTTTCTTCGGGTAGATTCGGTTCGACTATATACTTGTGATTGGTGGCCTCTCATCACAGAATAACCTCTATCTATGTAGTTTATATGTCTATGATTTTTTCTTGCTGGAAACAGCTGGAAAGCATGTGCAGATTGTCAGATGCATTAAAATTAAGGATTGAAAGATTGAAGATGAAAAATTTAAATTTAACCAATTAAAGAAGAAAGATATTTTAATTCCTTTCGTTTTGATTAGTCGAATTTCAAACTTTAATCTTTAATCTTCATACGTAGTCTTCTCTAGTACGGAAATGTGGGGGAGAGCAGTCCAAATAAGGGATATTTTAGTTTAGAGAGACAGAGCTGTTCAAAATAGCGGGCAATAGTGAAGGATATATGATATATATATGTATGTGTCATATGTGTGTGTGGAGTGGGGGTGCCCATACCATCATAGTATACCAGTCGTAATGTAATCGTGCGATATATTATCTACTAACAAGTAAATTCCTGACAATTTGCATTGGCCTGCGTTTGCCATCGGGCACAGTGTGCCGATGGATTGCCTGTCGAATGGTGAACCGCGCATATTCAATCTGTAGGTTAGATCGCAATTCTGGAATTGTCTGTGATTGAAGAACAAGAAAAAAAATAGATCTTGTGCAGCACGATGCGGGCGGCTATTGCGATATTTTGCGTTTTCCTTGGCTGCTGCACCAATGTCGTGTTCCTGGAACTGCTTGTAAAGTTAGTATTGATGACTCGGCCGACTTAATGTATTGCATAACAGGCAGTGATTAGATGTGTACACACGTTATAAGTGTGTATGTTTATATGTATACAATGCAATATACATATTTTATGATACATTTAGTAGAACTATATTTATAATTTCTTTTATTCATCAGTTACGTCTTAACATCCAATTGAAAAATAACGCTTATATATCTACTGCTTTCGAACTTTGATAATAATACCACTGTGTGTGGATACAGCGATTATTATTATGACAAAATCATTATAAAATTAAAAAATGTACTAGAACTAATAATTAAATTAATTTAAGTAAAGTAATTATTAATTAAAGTATTAATTAAAATAAATTATACATTGGTTTATATTCTTGGAAAAGTGATAGATGAATATATTCAGGCCAATATATCTGTATATATTTATTATCGTTCCTCTCAGGGTTACAGGAATTGTACATCTTTTTCCAACTTACTCCCTCTTATGCACATTTATAAAACTATCTTACCTATCTTTTATCTATTTTATATTCTATCTTTTTATCTCACACTAACTTACTAACTATTCTTTCCATACATATGCAACTTCCTATTTCCTATACATTTTGCATTTCCTATTTCTATCATATCATATTCTCTTTTTTTCCTATGTGTCCCTAAAAATTTTTATTTACACTTTTCTTCCTGTCTCTTCTCCATCTTTCATGCTCTATTCAGGCCAGTATAAGTACTGGTAATTCAGTATTTAATGTCTATTGGTTTTTGTAATCTTGAAATTTTTTAATAGTTCCAACTTTTTGTCATTCAGCAATTTTTGGTGGAAAAGGACTCTAGTAAAGGGCGAAACTAGTTACACAAATAAGAGAAAATTTTAAGATTACCAAGAAATGTATTTTAAGTGCCAAATTGCAGCAATACTTGAAGACTTCTATTAACTTGAATATGCTCATTCAAATGTTGATTGTTTGATTTTAGGGATGATCCTGGCAGTGGAAACCTTATTACGTTTTCGCAATTTTTCTTTATAGCTTTTGAAGGATTTTTATTCACATCTAAATGTGGTACTGTCAAACCGAGTATAAGTATAAAGAATTACTTTATTTTAGTCACAATGTTTTTTGTTGCCAATGTTTGCAACAATTATGCCTTTGACTTCAATATTCCCATGCCATTGCACATGATATTTAGAGCTGTAAGTATCAATAAATTCAATTTGATATAAACTATCATCAGTTCTTACCATATATAATATACATTGCATGATTCCAGGGTTCTCTCATAGCCAACATGATTATGGGTATTATTATTTTGAACAAAAAGTATGTATTTAGCAAGTATTTATCAGTATTTATGATTACAACGGGAATAGCACTCTGCACGATTGTTAGTGGTAAAGAGATCAAGTCCTTGCAACAAAAGAACGTGGACCAGGTGCCCACAACACCATGGGATGACCTCTTTTGGTGGATTCTGGGGATATCTCTACTTACAATTGCTTTGTTTGTTTCTGCTAGAATGGGTATCTATCAAGAAGAGCTGTACAAACGTTACGGTAAAAATGCACGGGAGGCTTTGTATTACACAGTAAGTTCTTCATAATTTCTTGCCGTATTAAATATCAACATTATGATGTAATTGTCAATATAATGTATAAAATATTTTTACAGCATTTTTTACCTCTGCCATTCTTTTTAACACTAGCCCCTAATATTTATGATCATTGGAAATTCGCGCTCGCATCCGAGCCGCTGAGTTTACCTCTGATTGGTGTACATATGCCATCATTAATTATATATTTAATTGGAAACGTTTTGACGCAGTATCCTTTTCTAATTGCAATTATGTTATATTATGTGCAATATCATATATCCGATGAATATACTATTACATCTCCGAAATATTTTCCTTAATCATATTTTCAGATACATGTGTATCAGCTCCGTATTTGTATTGACTACAGAGTGTAGTTCCCTCACAGTTACTTTGGTAATAACGCTGCGAAAATTTCTGTCTCTGTTATTTTCGATTATCTACTTCAAAAATCCGTTTACTATATATCACTGGCTTGGTACGATACTAGTCTTCATAGGTACAGTTATATTTACAGAAGTGGTACCAAAGATTATGCAAAGCTTACAAAATGTATCTAAGACGAAAAAAATGGAATAGGTATATTAATATCAAAGATGAAACAAGCAAAGCACTCATCTTTTATCTTTATCGAGTACAGAATAAACCTCTGAATGAGTTCTTTAAAATATTTTATATAATAATCGTATTATTTTCATATACATAGAAGATTGCATGTTTTTCAAACAAATGTAATATCGAGAACATAATCAGTATCGTCCATTGTTTTCTATAAATTTATATACTTTTTTAAAATAGCTAATAACATTCGAAATGTAATCTCTACTACCTCGATAATATATTTTCATATAATTCAATGAATAAAAAGGAAAGTTATATTCTTAATTTCTATTGCTACAAATGTACCTGATCATTTGGTGATGTTGATGTAAATCAGACTATCATTAGCGCCTATCATTAATAATTTCGCAAATTCGGTTTTAACGATGAAGATATATTTCTGTTTTTTGTAATATATATATTTTTTACAATAAATATATTTTTCTCTTTATCTAGCAACAATTTAATTTAAATTCGATATGAGGACACAGTAGTAGTAAGTTCGAGTAAATTTATAGTCGAATAGTTTATAGATCGTATATCGCTTAATTAGGCTCGTTGTTCGGAAAGTTCTCTCGGAAAATAGCTGAAAAAATAGTGAGAAAGGCCACGTAACAATTAAGATAAAAAGAGACAGAATGGTTTATACTGCTGCTTGGCACATATAGTTATATAGTTAGTAAAAAAAAATATCTTTGTTACATCTAATTAAACTAAATTCTTATTTACACTATCTATTTGTGAAAAGGAGAGGTTATTACAGAGTATATACAATGGCACGAGTTAACTATCCATATACGAGCCAGCTGTCTGAATACTCGTCGAAACAATGTCATATGGTTTCACAATATAAATGTACAAAAATGTAAGAAAATAAAGCTAAAATCCAAAAAAGAGTACTGCTGTTGTCGAGCACAGCCAAGATATGAAAAATGGATTTATTCCATCACGGGATGCTTAAAATACTAATTTTAAGATAAACGAACATATAATATACCCGGTTCTAGCTTATTACAATACACTAGTGTGTTATTAATGTTGCAAAAACAATAGAAGAAATACCTTCTAACAACTATTATTAAATTGGTCAACGTGTATATATAATTTCTGATTAATTTTTATCCTTACGATTAAAGATTCTATAAAAAAAAATAAAATTATAAGATGTACAATGGCGATTCACGCACTATTTATCTGATCATCAATGTAAATTTTAGTTTCAAAACTAAATTCACAATTTATCACTGAATTATAACAATCGGCTAAATCACATTTATCTGGTCATAATCACTAATTTCGTATTCCTTTACGTCATGTGGCGTATATCACAATCTTAAGCATGCTTTCATGTGAGAGGTTTGTATGACCACAATAAAAGATATATTAAAAATTATTTGAGATTATACTTTATAAAGTACAATTCGAATGATATTAAATCAAGTTTGATCCGAGTCATATGTTCTTGATACACGTCAAAAGAAAAGTTATATATCCTTAAAGAAATAATTCGTCGGAAAACTCGCAAGATTATAGAAATATTCTCTGATCGATGTAGAAGAACTAAGAATTGCGAGGATAAATCGCGTACGAATAATCTTTATAATTTGCAATCTATAAACTGAATGCCATCGCGCGATAATTGATCCGCCCATTCTGACATACCTCGAATAATCTTATTAAAATGGAAGGGATTCGGGTTTTTCTACGACTTTGAAGATATTAGATAGCTCATCGACCAACGTCTCATACCGATAAGCTACCCGTATATCCGGTACGTTGGTTCGCGTGATATCGTTACCAGCGACTCCTTCTTTCGTATAATTAGGTCCCAACCAGTACTGTTTGCTCTGTAAAATAAGGAATAATCGGATTGCATGATATTGTTTACGCATCAAATCGCGTCGACACGTTAAACAAATTTATGCAACAATACAAGATCGAGAGATGTAGAATGAATTACTTAATATACAAGTCATCATTATAATAATATAAAATAGGAGATAAGACTTATACATGCATGCGCGCACACATACATGTATATATATAGCGCATCATATATGCAGGAAGACTAAAGAACTGATATAATAACTCACTTTATGCGGGAAACCGCTCATGATAACAGAATTGCGTGCCAGCTCGCACATGTCGCACGAACTAAGTTTCCACACTTGTGCAGCAATACTATATTCTTCCATCAGAGGTTCCTATAATTAATATATTATACCATCACATATATATATTAAAATTTCATGAGATATACTAAATATATATAGCAATAATAATTTTCGAATATATAAATAAAATAAAGATATATTTTAAATATCATTGTCATACAGGGTGTCCCAAAGCACCCTTGACAACGCTCGTGAGCAGGTAGAGCACAGTAAACTGAACAGAAAAGTCCTGTACCATTTTTTTCTATAACGCTTAATAAAGGAGTTATTATTGAATAAGGTCTGGTCAATCAGCGCCGACTTTTAGCCGGACGCACGTCAGTGAGCCGCCCGTCTGTTAGTGTGCGTCGCCGTAGCGACGGAGCACTCACGTACACTATCAGGCGCGCGGCTAAAGATCGGTGCGGATTGGCCAGACTTTACTCAATAATAATTCCTTTATTAAGTGTTATAGAAAAAAAATGTTACAGGACTTTTCTGTTCAGTTTACTGTGCTCTACCTGCTCACGA